ATCATCACCACTGGACCAATAAACAACATTCTTATCAACGGAGAAAAGATTGAAGTTGTCAAGGACTTCATTCTTCTTGGATCAACTATCAACACTCAAGGAAGTAGCAGTCAAGAAATCAAAGGACATATTGCATAGGCAAATCTGCTGCACAAGATCTTTTTCAAGTGTTGAAGAGCAAAGATGTCAGCTTGAGGACTAAGGTGCGCCTGACACAAGCCATTGTGTTTTCAATAACCTCATATGCATGCGAAAGCTGGACAATGATTAAGGAAGACCGAAGAAGAATTGATGCTTTTGAGTTATGGTGTTGGAGGAGAATATTGAAAGTGCCATGGGCTGCCAAAAGACTAATAGATCTGTTTTGAAAGAAGTACAGCCAGAGTGCTCCTTGGAGGCCAAGGTGGCCAAACTTCATCTTTTATACTTCTGTCGCTGGAGAAGGATACCATGTTTGGTAAGGTGTAGGGTCAGAGAAAAAAGGAAGACCCCCAACGAGATGGATTGGCCAAGTGGCAGCATCGATGGGCTCAAGCGTGGCAGCAATAGTTAGGTTGGCCCAGGATCAGACAGTGTTTTGTTGTGCTGTGCATAAGGTCGCTATGGGTTGGTACCAACTCGATGGCACCTAACAATAGCAACCACAGTAAAGAGCTGTGAAGTGAAAGAATGGACGGGGATCTGAGATAAACAACCAGAGCCCATCCTACATCTTTGTGTTTCTCCACAGGAGCCCCACAAGTGAGTCAGCCGCTGAGGGAGCAGAGTGAGGATCTGCCCGGAGCTGTTTCCTCTGCGCTGGCAGCCATATGCACTGCTCCTGTGGGGCTGCCTGGCTGCTGGGAAGCCAAGGCACAGGTCTGAGCAGTAATTCTCTGCTTTTGCTATCCCAGCTACCAGGGAGGGCTGGCCCAGTTTCTCAGACAGGCAGAAGACAAGCTTTTTAGGGTCTGTGTTTTATGTCTCCCTCTCATTCAGTGCTTCCAGAAACATGGCTCCACGCTGGGTCTGGGTTACTTAGTATGATATAGCCTATCCCAGATCCCTTGGCCAGCGGGTGAGGGGAGAGCGCAGTGATAAGCTGCCCAGCTGGTTAGGGGTGCTGGTTAAAGGCAGCAGTGATGCTTTCGCCAGGATTGAGGAGCCAGCTTTTCCACTCCCTGGTGGCCAGCACGACTTTCCTCTGGACCTGCCCACACTTGGGCCAAACTAGTTGTTGAAGACTGGGAACAGAATAGGATCAGAGGTTCTTGGTGAACCCAGAGAAGTGGCTCATAAGGAGCTGAGCATTCTGCTCAGTTGAGGTGTGACAGGAGTAGGATTGGAATATTGGGATAGGGTCTGAGTCTTCAGTTATGTTCATGTAGGTCTCTCGGCATTTGGCAAATCAGCTGAGTGAAGACAGCAGCCAGCTGAGGCTATCCCTCATCTCTGGCCTGCAGCATCCCATCCTGTGCCTGCACCTTCTCAAGGTACCACCTGCTCCAAACCCTTGGCACTTAGATTTCTTTTTAATACCCAGGACTTCTAACATGAGAGAGATTGAGAGCAAGAGAGAAACTGAGAGAAACCCATTGAGAGATTCCCCGCTTTAGCCCCTATTGAGGACTTCTTTCTGGTTTTAAATGAGTTCTGTAACTGAGTTGGTCCACTCTTATCCAGTCCTTACTGGAACTAGAGAAGCATCCCTCTCTCTCGAACTCAAAGAAGAGGCTGAAGTGGCCTGACTTCCTCTCACATCCCCCAAGTGAAGGTACTGGATCTGTTGAGAGACTAGCCTGCCTTTCAGCTGAGCCTCGCAGTCTTGGAGGCCAGGGGCTGCTCTGCCTCACAGCACTCTCCTCCCTGCTCCCTTAGGTTCTCTACTCCTGCTGCCATGTCAGTGAGCACCTGTGCCGTCTTCTCGGGCAAGAGCCCCTGGCCTTGAAGACAATGTTGATGTTGGTCCAGCACAAGGTAGGTCAGCAACACAGGTGGGAATCTCACAGTGGTCCCATCATCCCTGCCAGGGTTGTCCTGATAGCTTAGCTTTCTTTTGTAGATGAAAGTGGCGGATTGGGAAGAGTCTACTGAAGTGACACTCTACCTCCTCTCCCTTCTTGTACTTCGGCTCCAGGATCTGCCTCCTGGGTGAGTCATAAAGTTGGGTCTTTCCACTGACATCTCCTGTCCACTTCTCTAACCCTGACGTTGATTACAGGGGAATGGCACTCTATAGCCTATCCTTAGAAGGGACTGGGACAGAGATAGTGGAGTTTTCTCTGCAAAGGCAGACCTGGATTCCCACCAACTTTGTGCCATGGAGTGGACATGCAGCCTAGGTGAAGAGTGAGGGAAATCCCTTTCCCAACCGCCTTTCTTCCTGCCTCATCCCTTGGTGTATCTCCTCCTTCCAGGCTGGAGAAGCTAGGCAGCGAGACCGCCACTCTCTTCACCCACTCGCACGTCGTCTCTCTTGTGGTGAGTTTTCACCGTTATGTTTCTCTGACCCCGTGGGAGCAGGGGAGTCGGTATTCTGCTTGCAACTCTTCCTGGGGGGCTTCATCTTTCTCTGGATGTCCTGAATACCACTCTGAGTCTGACATTCCTTCTCCATGCTCTCCCTCTCTCACAGAGCGCTGCAGCCTGCCTATTGGAAGAGCTTTGTCAGCAAGGGGTGACTGTTGACCTCCAGCCCGTGGAATGGATAGCTGCAGCCACGCATGCCCTGTCTGCCCCTGCAGAGGTGAAGTCTGTCAGGGAAGGACAGACACGTTTTCTCTGAGTCAAACATAGGACAGTCTTCACAACCAAAGACTGAAATGCCAGCCAGCCTAGAATAAGTGAGGGAGTGATACAGAGTCAAAAAGTCCTTCCTTTCTTATCTTTTGTCCCCATATAATAGGCCCCTCTGAGAGAGGGAGGGAGAAAAGGGACCTAAGTTCTCTGAAGAGGACCCTCTCCCTGCCTCCATCAGCCACCTCTTCCAAAAGCTCATGCTCATTAACCTTCAAGTTCTTCCCAGTCATTAATCTCTTCCCCTCCTACTGCAGTTAGCCTTGATTTTTTCCTTTCTTTAAAGATGGAAAAGGTGGCAGACATCCTGTGAACTCCTTAAGAATTCATCATCTATTCCAGGGTGTCCATTCTGCATTCTCCTTTTCCAGGCCTTCTCCTGTCTTCCTTTAGACCCTTTGGAACCCATGTTTCCCTTATTTTGTGAAAAAAAAAGTAGACTTCTTACTCAAATTATGCTCATCCCTTATATATGTAGAGTCCTGGTGTGGCGCTGTGGTTTAATGCGCTGGACTGCAAAGTCAGTTTGAAACACAAGGTTGGTGGTTCAAACCCACCAGCCATTCCTCAGAAACCCTATAAAGGGTCACTATGGGTCAGAACCAACTTGACGGCATTTACCAACAGCAGCTTATATATGTAGAATTCTTTTTACAATTTCAACCATGTTATTCCATAACAAACTTTGTTGTTAAGTGCCATCGAGTTGGTTCCGACTCATAGCGAGCCTGTATAGGATTTCCGAGGAGCAACTGGTGAGTTTGAACTGCCAATCCTGCAGGTTCCAATGGACCTCACAGTCCAGTCCATTATCCCACAGCACCACACCAGGACTTCTAAAGATAGACAAATTGAGTGTAATAATGGTGTTGGGGATTGAATGCCTTTGAGTCAATTCTGACTCACAGTGACCCTATATAAGGTATCTGAGGCTGTAAAGTTTTACGGGAGCAAAAAGCCTCATCTTTCCTGCGCATATCCAAATTATGGTTATCTTTTATTAGTGTAGATGTACTTTTTTTACTTTATAAAGCAATTTCACCCGTGTTATTCCATAACACACTTGAAAGACAAATCAAATGTAAAAATACTCATCTGCTGTTTTTAGGTATTTCTAATAATCACTTAGGGACCTAAGTCAGAAACAGGGGAGTCATCATGGTGTCCTTCCTCTTCCCCATTATTCCCTCAGAGTAATGGTTCTGGTGTGACACTATAGGATAAGCACTTGACTGCAAGGTTGGTTTGAACCCAAGGTTGGCGGTTCAAACTCACCAGCTGCTACTTGTAAACCTTACACAGGGTTGCTATGATTCATTGAGTCAGAACTGACTCAATGGCACTTAAGACACACACACACACACATACACACACACACATACACACATACACGCACATACACATACACACACATACACACACATACACACACATACACACACATACATACACACATACATACATACACACACATACACACATACACACACATACACATACACACACATACACACACATACACACACATATACACACATACACATATACACACATACACATATACACACATACACACACATATACACACATACACACACATACAC